AAAAATCACAAAGCAAACCGGAAATCAGCAGGAAAAATATTCGCAATAAATGTGACACAGAAGATTGATAGCTTCAGTAGGCTCAGTAGATTTCACATCTACTGAAATACTTCTGTGCAAACTCACCGCACAAAGGGTTTGGGACACAAAGAAACACACACCCAAACTGGGGATAACGGGGAGGGGAAGGATGACATCCTACAAATAAACACGAACAGGAGAGTTTTACCAATAATCAAGGAAATGCAAATTAAACCAGGTACTGCTCAATTTCCATTCAATGTTACAAAATATGAACCCAGGTCCAGGAAGCTGAGGCAAAAGTATAAGCAGGCGATGACGGAAAAGTGGATAACCTCTGGGAAAGCCACGTAGCAAAAGGTATAAGAGAATATGAAAACGTCATGCCTTTTGACCTACTAGACTCATAAGGAACTAATTTAAAGGATGACTACTAAAGTTGTATACATGCAAATATCAAATAGGAAACAATTCAAAATGTCTAGCATAAGGCAATTCAGGAAATCAAGGCATGTCTGTTTTATGGCTTATTATCATTGAAAAGTATAATAGGTAAATGTGTCAAGATACAAAATATATGAAAAAAATCAGGACACTAAATAGTGTATAAACATGTTTAAAACTGTGTAAACATATGTATGCCTATGGTTAAACATGAAAGGAACAAGGAGAACTCAAACTATGTAAGGCTGGTAAAAAAAAAAGTGAGCCATGTTTTAATAATAAATGAAATTATCCTGTTTATTGAATTATAGAATGTGACAGCTGACATTTCATATGATTTAGTCAATAACTCCAGTTTTTGAAAGAGGAAACTTGTGACTCGGACTACAAGTGAATTAGCCAGAGTAAAAATTCAAAGTTGTAACTCAAGGCCTTCCCAACCCACCACGCATGGAAAAACACTACCATCTCCAGACTCCTCATCTGAGACCAGATCTCTGCCTCTGGAGTTTTATGTCTCCACGCATCAAAGCCTCACCAACCCTTAATGATTGTAATGAAATGTCACCTCCTGCAGCAAAGGCTGAACTTTTAACCGTGTCATCCTCCAGGGGTAGGGAAGAGGTGAGAATAAGAAACGGAGCAGTGTGGCGGGGCTCTGCACGCCCTGTAATGAGGGGCTCTTCCTTAACCACTGATGCCCCTCACCTACCCCTGTCCTCTGTCTGCAGTGGGGTTCCACCCCAAGAACAGGCTGGTGGAAAGCTGGATGGACAGGGGGTGGCCAGAGGAAGTTGCCTCCAGCCAGGAGTCGCTGCTCCTTCCTCTGTCTTACTAGGATCCCATGCCCGCATCACCCATGCCTCCCTCGAAGTATGGATAAACCCAGCACCTTCTTATGATCTAGTAGTCAATTAGTAAATATCTGTTGGGTTAAATTCCACATCCACCCAAGAATAAAGACCACAACAAAATTTTAAGTGTATTTTCCACCCAAGCCCAGCTCTCTCAGTGAGCTCCATCTGCAGGCTAGCCAACCAATGAGACCTGAGCAGTGACCATCACACATAGGGGTGCACAGGTGCCTTAACCCTGATCCCCAGTGCAGGCTGTCCAGGTTGGGGTTGCAGAGGAGGTGGGGCAGATGGTGATGCAGGAAGGGCTGGCTGGGTTCCTGGAAGAGCTCACATTCCATTAGGAAAACAATGGTTTTTAAAAAGAGCAGCAAAACCTAAGGGAGGAAGCCTCCACATTTTAAAGTTTAAATAGACATCACCTTTTCTTAAGCTGGCTTGCTGGATAACTTTGCCCTTTTGGAGCTCAGGGCAGGAAGCCAGGCAGGGCAGGCCCCGGAGAATTTGTGAATTCTGATGAAGCAGAGGGAATACAGGGGGTAAGGCCCTTCCAGGAGGGTCGACTTTCACAATGAACAAGAACACAAGTTTCCAACAAGCCTCCAACCTGGAGCCATGACTATCTACTTGAAGCTAATGGGGTGGTGGGGAGAGCAAAAAGGAAGAAGTAAGGCCTATTGCAACATAATGTATTTAAAATGGATTTTCCTGGCATAAGAACAGTCATGCTTGCTTCTTGGCTCAAGGATGGCCTTAATCAAGAGTCTTGGATGCGATGTTAACTAGTGGCTTCAGTCTAGGCATTCACCCACCATTTTGGGCTGCCGGCCTCCGAGGGGCCCCTGAGTTAACACTGGGAACTCCTGGCCAGGCCCCAGAAGGTTCTGCCAGGAGATCCTGAGGCCTCCACTTATTACCAAAGTGGAGAATTGATTCACACTTTGTCCTACAGGAGAACCCTCAGTGGGTCGGTTTCTAGGCTTGAGTTTAAAACCAAGGGAGGATTTATTAGAGACGCTGTAAGAGGAACCAGATGCATTTTAAATGCTCAGCCTCAACAGTGATAGAAATATTTGGGATGACCTTTGAAATTTATTGAGTACTTGCTATGTGCCAGGAACTAAATAAGCACTTTCCACATATTTACTCCATTAGGCCCCTCAGCCACCCTGATGAGCTGCTATCACAATGCTCCAGAAGTTAACTCATGTTCCTCAGTCCAGCCGGATCACAAAAAGGTGAGATAAGAGCCCTACAGCTTCTCCCCAGGAACCTGACCCCTAATGCCCCAGCTGCCCTGTGGCAGGGCTGGAGGAGGGAGCAGTCAGTCAGTCACGTGGGCTGTGATGGTTGATGGAAATGGTGATGTTGGCCATGCTGGCCTTCGGGCCATTGTCTCTTAGCGTTCTTAGGCTACCCACCAGGAGGAGAGAAGGACATCAGCCCAGGCACAGGGATGATGGACATGGGGACACTCAAGGTATTCACTCCTTAAAGGAGCTGTCAAAGTTTAAGTGAGGACATATCACAGTGTAAAACCAGTGACCACTAGCAGGAGCCTTTGAGCTCCCTGGCACCCAGGCACACACTTTGGGGAAAGTGCCTGTCTAGTCGGCTGGTGATGGGGCCAGACACCACATCCGCAGCCCATGCTAAGGTCCCAGCAGGCAGCTGTACCACGAAGGCTGGTTAGAATCCACACTTGTTCCAGCCCCTCTGCCAAGAACCAGTCATCTGAGCATTTTTGCCGGGGTAGATATCCACAGAGCTTCTATCAAGCAGGACAGTTCTGTTAATCCCACTGTTCTTGTGAGCTAGTTCTTATTACCACTAGTTCTGATTATGTAGCTACTGAACCTGCTTGTCCTCCCATTAGCCAGAGCTTAGGAGTGGAAGTATCTCTCCACAGAGAAGCTTGGGTTGAAATAGCTGCATCTGGCAACCACTCTTGCAGTCCTCTGTGACCAGCCACAGGGCACTGCTCCCTCTGCTCTCCTGCTGGGGGGAGGGGGAACTAATGATGGCAAAGATGACTCCATAGTAGTACAACAACTTCATCATGTAGCTGTGTGTATGTCTGTGTGTGTGCATGTGCGTGTGTGTCTATGGGTGCATGCATGAATTCTGCTGTGGTATCTTTACCATGCAGGACCATATTCAATACTACTAAATACATTCTACTTTCAAAGTCTGCATGGAAATGCTATTTCACAATTGTTTTCCAGTACTGCAGTGAGATGGAGTTCAGCATGTTGTCTCATTAAGTTCTATGTGTAATGAAAATGAGTCAGTGGTGGGAGGTAACCATCATGCCTACAAGTACATCAAATGTTTCAGCAGTGTTATTTCATAAGGTGTTAGCCAGGACTGCTTTGGGTGCAAGTGATAGAGACCCAACCCAAGATACCTTAAACAACCTGAAAAGGAATTTATTTGTCTTATAAAGTATAAGAGTAGATCTTACTGGCTTCAGGAATGGCTGGATCACAGAAGTCATTTTGACTATCTCTTGTTCACTCTACTCATTTCTGGCCTCTGCCTTTTTCTGTATTGGTTTCACTCTTAGGAAAACTCATGTGGTGGGAAGATGGCTTGCATCATGCGTAAAACAAGCAATGTCGATTTAAGCAGAGAACGTTCTCAGTGCTCCAGCAAAAGTCCCAGAAAAGGCTCTGATTGGCCCAGCTCACTCACATGCACACACCTCAACCAATCACTGTGGAAGATGAGTGGGGCTCTCTGATTGGCCAGCCCAGCATCATGTGCCCACTTCTATGGCAAAGGATAAAAGGGAGGGATCAATTTAATTTGAACCATTAAGAAGGGCTTCTCACCTGGAGAGGGATTTCCAAAACCAGAATAAAGATAGAAGTAAAAGTAGGGTGGCTAACAAAAGGCCCAATACATGAAACCCTCAAAGAGCATATCCCCAGATCCTGGGGACCTCAGCAACTATAGGAGAATTATGTCCTAAGGGCTCTTCAGCAAAGTGACCCTGGGGTACCTCCTGGGTGTAGTCATAGGGCTTGCAATCAGAAGACCAGTGCGAGTTTCATCTCTGTTACTGAGAACTTTGTGGTCTGGTTCCCCCAAGACACAGCATCCTTTCTGTTAGATGTAGGCAGTCACACTTTTTCCTGCACAGAGGGCAGCATTGTGGGGTCTGAGGAGTAGCTCTGGCACTGGGCATACCTGGACTTGAACCCTGGCTTCAGAATCCCTCTGTTCAAGCTAGGTTATGCTCAATAACAAACAATTTCAACATCCCAGGGGCTTCCAATGACGAAGGCGTGTTTCTTGCTCGTGCTATATATGCATGTAGTTGGTCAGTTGGGGCTCTGCTCCACATCTGTTCCATTCTGGGACCCAGGCTGAAGAAACACTTTGAACTGGGAAATAGAGATCCCCTGGCCAAGAGGAAGGGGACATGGTGGGGCCACATGTGGTTCTCAAAGCACCTGCTCAGATGCGACTCACATTTCACTGGCTAAAGCAAATTATGCAACCAAACCCGACATCAAGGGGACCTTGGAAACACAGTGAGTCTTTTGAACAATAAACCACCTGGCCTACCGTTGGGTGTGACCTGTTCAGTAACATTCCAAAGCCAGTTTTCCTCAGCTGAAATGGGCTCACCTCACAGGACTGTTGAGAGTCCATGACACAGCAATTGCTAAAGGACCTGCCTGGATGCCTGCTGCCACTGCAGTGTCTCTAACAGCATTTCCTCCGGCGCTCTCAGCACTTCCTAAACCATGCTCTACAGAGGTAAGGCTTATTATCACTGCGATCTCAGGACACTTCCACTTTCACAGAGCCTATTTTGTGCTTGAATCCCACACAGCAAGCTGTGTCAAAAGGGCCCTCGTCCAGGTTCCTGTCCAGGCCTTAGGTTGCCCAGGTCATTAAATTCTGGAGTGCCCTTCCAGGTGGATTATGCTGAGAATGTTGGCAGCTGCTGCAGTGGGTTGAGGTGTTTCCTCCTCCCTAACAGAGTTTCAGCCCCACGATCTCCCAGGTGTGACCCACAAACACTACTGGAGATACTGCCCACTCTCAATCCAGCGGACAGGATGACACCCAGCCAGACCAGAAGCCCGGCCCCAGGACTGCGTCCTTCTTGTCTCTGATCTCCATGGTGCTTGTTTTCCATTCCATTTTTCATTCTCACACTTCTGGTTGACTTCACTGGCAGTGTGAGGCTTCCACTAGATTGTTTCCTTTCTTTTTAACAGTGGGGAGGAGAGACTAAATAAACACCAATCCCCTGGTCCATGACATGTCTGGAAGCAGCAAAATTAAGGAGTTTTCTCCCCTTCCCTCAAGTTGGAATCCTTTTTGGAATTCCCTTTCAGAAATGACAGGTTCCTCGGGCCATTGTGTAAACATCAAGTGCTAATTGAGATGATTTTTGACTACTGGAGCCAGAAGGAAAAGCAAAATGAAGGCTGAATATGAAACCTCCATTTGTGTAATTCTCCAAGCTCAGTTGTCCCCTCCCTGGTGTAACTGTCCTTAAATCCTCCACTGGGTAATTGAATCCTGCTGTAAGCCTGGGCTTTGTTCACTTGAGACTTTCCTGAGTATTATCAAGCTCTACTGTGAAGTTTCCAGATTTTACAAGTACTCTCTCCACGTGATAAATAAGATGTTGAAAGAATTGGCATTCTCCGAAGACTTGTTATTGTAGCAGCTCCAGTAACTACACACCAGTGAGTATGGCTTCACGACATCGGCGTGGACATCGAAATGTATGGTGAATCTCCTAGAAGGTGACTGTCCACCCCATAACAACCCACTGATGGGGCCCCCATGTTCTTCCACCTCCTTGGTATGTATTTCCTAGGAAACCACTCTCCACTGTTTGGAACCACAATTGAAAAGAGAAAAGTCACAGAAATACAGGAGGATTATTTAACTTGCTTGCCAAGGACATGTTGCTCTTTTAAAATTATCTTGTAGTTTTCTACAACCAAGGCATGAGCCAAAAAATTAGCAGCTGTCCAGGCAATCTGGGAAAAACAAAACTGGTAAGGACTTCACTAATTGTCAATTTGAGGCACCAGTAGCTTGGGTGTTCTGATGCCAAGAAAAGGCACCCTGACCGAAAGCGTAGCTAAGATATATTAGATCCACTTCGAGCTAGAGATAGGTTGAACTGTGCTTTCAAGGGAGCAGGGACTCTGACCAAGGAGGAAAACTTAGGCAGCTCTTTAAATGCAACCACAATAAGTAAGTGATTTACAATCAGCCAAAAAATAAATGCCCTTAATGTTCCTGTATAACTCAGACCAGATGCTGACAGCACTGCTGAGCACCAGAACAGCAGGTCCGTCCTTGGTCTCCACTGGAGGTGTACCAACACTGTTCATCGTCTTGCTCTGTCCACGCTATCCTCCGAGCGCTCACTCTGTGTTCTTATCCCACCACAGGAGATTCCTTCCAACTTAAGGACTTCTTTGAACCAAGCATGAGTTCTCCTTCCATTAAACATAAGTAGTACGTAAAACCCATGTACCAGCATGGGGAAGGGATTAAGAAAATATGTTGTGTTTGCTTTGTGGATCCAAAAGTGGACACCTTTAACTCTTTGATACACCAAGATTCCAAATGGTTGGAAGGAAAGGAAAGATAAACCGGCCTCGTCACTAGCAAGCAGCAGGAAGGCCTTCTTTATGGTGTGGCTCAACAACCCTCCTGAGGTGAGTGTCATGTGCAGGTTCTAGCTCCCGAGAGTCCTCGAGGTGTTCCCTGATAGGTCAGTGCAGAGCACAGCGGCTGCAAGTCCGGGCCTGGAGTTAGACTGCTTTGATGCAGATCCTGTGCCAACCTCTTACCAGGACATCATCTCAGGTGAGGCACCTAACATTGCTGAGCCCATGGATGAGTTTTCTCATCCACAGAAGAGGGAAGTAGCCTCGCAGGGTGCTTGAGCAGAATAATGAGATGGTTTATCTACAGTACTAGAAACTGTGTCAGCATAATGCAAAATTGTCATACTGTCACTGTGTGTGTTATGACCATTACAGAAAGATCCTTTGTCCCCCAAATGAAAGAACGTAGAGAGAAACTGTTACTGTGAGCCGATGCAATATTTATCACCAGTCAGAGAGCCTAACAACAACATGCAATTTTGACCCAAGTGGTCTGTCTCCATTTTGGAAAGTGGCCCAAATGGGAGGTGAGGGTGAGGGGCTAGGTGGGCTCCTAGGGCATCACAGTATGTCTGAAGTCTGTGTGGGAAGCTGCTGCCACCAATGGTAAACAAGGGCCAGAACAAAGAAGGGGCATCCAGAACCTTCTTCAAATTTGCATTTCTCCAGTTCTGTTTGAATGTCTACCTGGTTCTGGAGGTGAAGGTGGCCTGGCCAGACTTCAGCCTGCACTGAGCTGGACCAGACTCCAGTCCTGCCCTCCTGACATCTAACCATGCCCACTGGCTCCTGTGACTTGTTCTGGTTGCACAAGTCAATCTCTAAGAGCTCCATGTTGTGCCCAGACAAGTGACACCCAGCAGGCCACATGGACCAGCTGGGCAGGTGTCCCTCCTGCCAGGAGGAACAAAAATATAAAACCTTAATGGATTGGCTCAACAGAAAAATGGAGGGGACAGAGTAAGAATCAGTAAACTAAAACCTAAAACAATAAAAAAATCACCGAATCTGAACAACAGAGGGAAAATTATATACCATGAACAAATGGGGTTTATTCTAGGGATGCAAGTTTGGCTCAATATTTGAAAATCATTCAGTAAAATCTACCACATCAATGGACCAAAGAAGAAAAATCACACAATCATATCACCTGAGCAGAAAAACATATTTGACAAAAATCAACACCCATTCATGTATTGTAAAATAACTACCAGAAGTAACACATGAACTTGGCAGTGTTGCAGAATTCAAGTGTAATGTTAAAAAAAAATCAATTATAGCTTTACATGTCAGTAGAAATACACCTGCATATATGTGGTCAATTCATTTTCAACGAAGGTACCAAGATAACGCAATGAAGAAAGGAATATCTTCTCCACAAATTGTGCTAAGATAACTAAACATTCATATGAAAACAAAATTAACATTGACCCTTAATTCACACTATACATAAAAATTGACTTCAAAATGGATCATAGCCCTAAATGTAAAATTAAAAACTATAGAACTTCTAGGAAAAAAATCTTTGCAATCTTGGAATAGGCAAAGAATTCTTAGATAGGACACAAAAGGCATGAACCATAAAAGAAAAACTTGATAAGTTGGATTTTATAAAAATTCCAAACTTTGCTTTTGGAAAGACACCAATAAGAAAACAAAAAAGAAGTAGATCAGGCCTGCTGAGTGGCTCAGTTGGTTAAGAGCTGGCCTAAGAGCACAAGCTCTAAGCAACAGGGATGCCGGTTCAATTCCCACATGGGCCAGTGACGCTGCACCCGAGCTGAGCTGTCACTGTGCTGAAAACAGGTGGCAGGGTGGCTCAGCTGGTGTACCAACAAGATTGCCTGTTCAATGGTGGGCTACGCTCACCTGCAACTAAGACTGAACTTGGCACCTTGAGCTGAGCTGCCGCCCGGATGGCTCAGTGGATAGAGCATGCACTCTTAACAACAAGGCTGCTGGTTCGATTCCCACATGGGATAGTGGCTATGCCCACCTGCAACTAAGATCGAACACAGCACCTTGAGCTCAGAGGCCACCAGCTGCTTACGGGAAGCCAGATGGCGACTGGCGCCCTCCACAGCGAAGATTGAAGAACAACAACTGGGCTGATCCCCTTTTCCAATTCCCCAACACTGTTTCCCTCCCCCAATTCCCCAATTAAAAAAAATATTTAAAAAAAAGGGGAGTAGATCAAAAAAGGAAAATTCTTTGGGTTTTTTTTTCACCTATGTTGAAAAGACATTGATATAATTTTGCAACCTTATCTGATAAAAAAATTGATAACTAGAAATGAAAGGAAACATTCTTAAAATGTTTTTGCTTTCTTTAAGGTTGATGGGAAACTCTTGAATATGTTCTACATGGCGGCTTTTATTGTCCTCTCCATAAAGGTAAGCCTGCCTCTACCTGGAAGCTTCCCAGATGTTTTTGTCCAACACATTTCAACATCTCTTTAGATTTAGAGATAAGCAAGGGAGAAAAGGTGGAGGAAGAGGAGGTAACTCATACTGCATTATTGGGCCAATTGTCCAGAGCGAATCCTCCTGCTGGAGCACCCATTCTCAGGCAGAGAGTACCAGCAGGGGTCACGTGCACCCATGGAACCCGACAGTGGTCTTGGACCCTGAGTCCAGCTGGTCCTAGAGACAACCTTGGACTTCTGCCAAGCAATATCACTGTAAGGTATTTAAAATTGAATATGTGAGGGCCGGCCGAGTGGCACATTGGTTAAGAGCTGGCTTGGGACGCCAGCTCTGAGCAGCAGGGCCCCGGATCAGATCCCACATGAGGGTCAGTGACACTGCCCTCTACAGCTAAGATGGTGAACAACAGCTTGACCTGGAGGTGGGATGCCATGAGTCGCCCACAACGGCATAGGCTGCAGCCCCTGCTGCAGTGGGCTGCCATAAGCTACCATGTGTGTCCAGCAGCCAGCGTGAGCGGCCGACAGCCAGTGTGAGCTGCCAAGAGCTGCTGTGAGTGGCCATCCAGAGGCCGGCAACTGATCTGCCTCACCTGGGAAGAGCACAATGATAATACCAACATGGGCCACTGAAGCGACATCCTCCACAACTAGACTGAAGAACAAAAGGACAGCAACTTGCCTGTTCCCCTTCCCATGACCCCCCAGCACTGTTCCCCTCCCCCAATTCACCAATAAAAATCTTTTAAATAAATAAATAAATAAATAAAATTGAATATGTGATTCATGCAACATTGAAAGGCTCTCTGACTTTCTTCTAGTAGTGCTCCTGTTTCCAGTCATGGAAGCAGCTCATGATCCCCAAATTTGGGAGAGGAATCAGCTGTGAAATTTGTACTTAGAGGAACTCCTGACAAGGCGCATGAAATAGCAGGCAACAGCATTCTTGGCAGTGACGTAGTGAGCTTTCCCAGTATCATTGGCGCCACAGCAGGAAGATGCTCTGTCTCCACCGTTACTCATCTTTCCAGAAGTTGTACCCAATGAAGTAAGACCCAAAAAGAGGCAAATAAGAAATACAACACCAAGAAGAAGGAGGAGGGGGGGCAGGAGGAGGAGGAGGAGGAAAGGAAGGAAGGAAGGAAGGAAGGAAAGAAGGAAGGAAGGAAGGAAGGAAGGAAGGAAGGAAGGAAGGAAGGAAGGAAGGAGAGGAAGAAGGAGGAGCAGGGGGAGGAGGAGAAGAAATAAAGAAAGAAGAGAAAAGAAAGGAAGAAAAGGAACTACCACTATTCACATGTAACATGTCTAAGATTATTTATGTCTAAGAATACCTATAACACATTTTTAAAACACATTATCTCATTGCACTGTCACACCATTCCATGAGATGTCTTTTCATGCACATTTTATAGATGAGAAGTGTGAGGACTTCAGAAGATAATGACTGGTATTGGGCAAACTGAATATCCATGTGCAAAAGAAGGAAATTAAACTCTAATCTTGCACCACTCAGAAAAAAATAACTCAAAATAAACTAAAGACTTAAATGTAAAACCTGAAACCATAAAACTCCTAGAAGAAGACATGGAAAAAGTTTCTTGACATTGGTCTTGGCGGTGATTTTTTTTGGAGATAATACCAAAAGCATAGGTAAGAAAAGCAAAATAAACAAGTGCAACTACATCAAACTAAAAAGCTTATGCATGGCAAAAGAAACAAGAAACAATCAACAAAATGAAAAAGTAACCTACAGAGTTGTAAAAGTGTTTGCAAACCATCTATCTGATAAGGGATTAATATCCAAAATATGTAAAGAACTCATACAACTCAATAGCAAAATAATAATAATAATCCAATTAAAAACGGGCAAAAAAATCTAAAAAGACATTTTTCTAAAGAAGACATATAAATGGCCAATAGGTACATGAAAATGTTCTCAACATCACTAATTATCAGAGAAATGCAAATCAAAACCACAAGGACATGTCACCTCACGACTGTTAGAATAGCTATTATTAAAAAGACAAGAGATAAGTGTTGGAGAAGATGTGGAGAAAAGGGAACCCTAATGCACTGCTGGTGGGAATGTAAATTGGTACAACCATCACAGAAAACAGTATTGAGCATCCTCAAAAACTTTAAAAAAGAGCTACCACATAGTCCAGCAATCCCACTTCCGGGTATATATCTGAAGGAGCTGAAATCAGGATCTTGAAGAGTTATTACACCTGCACTCTCATATTCATTGCAGCATTATTCACAATAGCTAAGACATGGAAACAACTTAAGTGCCCATTAATAGGTGATTATCATATTTACGGGTACATACATATATCACATTTTCTTTATTCATTCCTCCATAATTATGCATATAATGAACTGATAAAAGTGAGCTGGCATCTTAGGATGATTAACCACAGAGCTGGGAGGACTATAGGTGAAGCTGGGCCCTTTGTTAACTCTCTAGTCCTGCCTTCTTGTTAAACTTGTGGTAACTTCTGGGGGAGGGATGCTAATAAATAGACAAGCCATCTTGGAATCGGGGCTTTTTGCACGTGTGCAGGCCAGTAGGAGTGTTGGTCTGAAGTGTGCATTCACACTACTGGGGTGACCTCATTTCTTTTTCTTTTCCCAAATAGACCATTCTTTTAGTGGATTTTCTGGAGAGTTATTTTTGGCCAGTGGACAGCACAATTCTCAGCCATCAAAAAGAAGGAAATCCTGCCATTTGCAACAATCTTCAGCAGTTCTCAACCTGTGGGTCATGACCCCTTTGGGGGACGAACAACCCTTTCGCAGGGGTCACCTAAGATCATCAGAAAACAAAAAGATATTTGCATTAGGATTCATAACAGTAGCAAAATTACAGTTATAGAGTAGCAACGAAAATAATTTTATGGTTGGGGGTCACCACAACATGAGGAACTGTATTAAGGGATCACAGCATTAGGAAGGTTGAGAACCGCTGATAGATGAACCTGGAGGAGATTACGCTAAGTAAGTCAGAGAAAGACAAATATTGCATGATCTCACTTATATGTGGAACCTAAAAAAGGCCAACTCATAGAAACAGAGAGTAAGATTGATGGTTGTCAGGGTCTGGGGGAAGGGAGAAATGGGAGATATTGGTCAAAAGGTATAAACTTCCAGTTATAAGATGAATTAATTTTGGGGATCTAATGTACGGCATGGTGACTCTAGTTAACAATATTGTATTGTATACTTGAAATTTGATAAGAGAGTAGATCTTAAATGTTCTCACCGCACACACACAAAATTATGGTAACTATGTGAGGTGATAGATGTGTTAACTAACCTCAGTGTGGTAATAATTTCATGCTTGTATCAAATTATCAAGTTGCACACCTTAAACTTACACAATGTTATTTGCCAATTATATCTCAATAAAACTAGGAAAAAAAGATAATATAATGATGACTTGTCCAAGATATAGATCTAGCAAACGGTATGTCTAGAATAAAAACACAGGTCCATCTATTTATGTTTATTTATTATGCTACCTGTGTTTTCATGGTGGAAGATATAAATATCAATTTCATTAAGTCCCAAAATGTGGAGCAATTATACAAAAGTTTAGGTGGCACATGGATAGGTACTTTTTTTATTTTAAAAGTTGTTAATTTATTTCAATGTGGTGTAGAAAAAGAACAGCCAGTACAACAAATCTGTGATTTTACAGATATCGTCTCAGATGGCACTAAACATAATTAAATTTAAAAATTGAGTCTATTAAAGAGGCACTAAATAAATAATAATAGTTCAGATTATATGGATATGGCAAAACTTTGAAATTGGCATGTAGACGACTGAAATTTGGGAGACATTGTCATATGAAGTAATGCTTGGGCTTCATGTTTTAAATATAGTATATTGTATCTGTGTTTTCATTGCTTTTAACTATCTTTCACAGTGAGATATATATATATATATATATATATATATATATATATATAAAATTTCTGTTTTATTTAAGAAGATAGTCTTAATTTCCTTCTGCTTAGGTATCTTTTTATCCTTTTTATTCTTAGTTGGTTTCAGTATTATTACAATACAATACACTGACGTTTTATAGAATTTATTAAATGCATCTCTACTTCCTAGATTCAATTACCATTATCATCTTTTAATTATCACAATTTTGAAACAGAACAAAACCCCACCTCAACAACATAAGTGGGGTCCAAAAAAACCTAAATGGGTAGGTTGTGGTATTACATTACTATGAAGTTGAGTGACCAGGGCAAGCTGAGATAATACTCAGGCCACACCTGACCAGACCCTCCCAAAGTTTGATGTCACCTGCTGGCCATGTTTTACTCTGGTTTCATATCCATGGGGATGACTCTTGTATCTGACTTGGACTTCTAGGATGTCAGTAATAATTCCAGAAATTCCTGGTGAGTTGGTGCACATTTTGTTACCTGATTCAGGGAGATTAGACAGGGAGAAACAGGGCACCTGGTTCTCCTTTGTAGAAAGATTGGAGGAGGTGTGGTAGAAACCTGGACACTGGAGCCCTGTTTAACAGAAATGAAAGAGGTAAAGGGTCAGGATAGGTCTCCAGGGGACAATCAAGAGTGATATCTTAGATATGCCACATTTGGAGGTGATATACTGAAACTCTATTTATTTAACACTTTTCCCAAAATATTCTCATTTCAAAGTTTAAGGGATGAATACCAAAATATTCAGATATTACCTCTCATTTCTTCATAGGTGTTTATATGATCCTTTCTCCTTTTTTTTATAATCTAAAAATTTGTCAAGTAGGTGTCTGGGGTTGGAGATGGGGGTGGAGCTTTACTTTTTAAATTGCTTTTGGGCAAATCTTGCTGTCTGTAATATCAATTCCAAGATCCACTGTTGGTCAGGAAACTTTCTAGAATTAACCTTTGAATTATTCATTTCCACATTGCTGATAAGGGCTTGAAAGTCATATCTGGGTTGCAATGTGGCCCTGCTTGCTTATTAATTATGTGATCTTGTGCAAGACACTCAATCTCTGTAACCCTTAGTTTCCTTATTTGTATACTTGTTACAAGAATGCCTTGCTCCACTGGGCTGCTGTGAGATTAAACAAGACAATGTATGCATCATGCACCAATAAATGGGGTTATTACTATCATGACCATTTTCATTATTATTACTGCCCTTTCAATTACCCCTAATATTCACAAGTGAAACCTTCGTGATTCATTTTTTTCCCCCAACTCTACCAGTTCCTTTGTATTACCATCTTTATGTACTTTGGCAC